ATTTATTTAGGCATATCTTACATGTCTGCAACTCTGCCAGCTTTCACTAGATGACAGACAGCAGAGATGATTTCTCTCACTTCCCGCAGTGGGAATTTGCCTTTCATCCTGTAAAGAGTGCAGATATTGTCTTGGCCTCCACTTCCCCCCAAACTCTGGATGCCTAGAAATATCCACTCCTAATTCTGGCTTTTGTTTGTTCCCTCTGTCCAGGGCAGAATAGACTGCAAAGAAGGAGTCCCAACCCCCTTCTGCTGACTCCCAACCCCCTTAGTGCCCTTGGCACCACACTGTCCCCTTGACCACTTCTATAGTGTCATTTCAACCTCACATCTCTTCACCCCACAGTCCACTTCCCATATTTGGTGGCCAGATGTTCAAATACTTAGTCTTAGTAAACAAGGAAGACTTACTAGTCTGTAAATGTAAACTTTTTCCTAAACTAAAATTACACCTATTCTGAAGTTTGTTTTTCTATAGCATCTAGATGCAAATATCATTGTTCCTTAGGACCAGCTCTGGGATTAACAGAGGGTGATCCATTGGAAGGGTTAATAATAAAAAGCATGAAGATTAGGTATGAAATAAAAAGAGTAAAAAAAGAAAGTTCCATTAAGTAGAATGCCAGCTTTCATCCTTTATTTTAGAGTGCTTGACATTGGAAATGTCTCCCTTGTTATTGTTGCTTTCATATCTTTTTCTATTAGATTCTCCAGAAGATGTAAGAAAAAGAATAAAGGTGAAGCTGTGATGAAAGTATAGTTTGTTGCAAATCTGGAACAGAATTCCTCAACAGAACCACTATTGACATTTTAGTCTAGATAATTCTTTGCTCTGAAGGACTGTTCTTTGCATGGTAGGAAGTGTATGTTCCTGGCTTCTGCCCTCTAGATGTTAGTTGCACTTCTGGACCCTCATGTGAAAACCAAAAATGTCTGTACACATTGCCAAATGCCTCCTGAGGGGACAAAATAATCTGTAGGAGAAAACCACTGGTTAGAAGAAAATCTTTAATTAAAAAAATAAATAATAGAATTAACAGGAAACAGAACAGTCTCTGGGTAGTGAGTCAGGACCCAGATATGCCCCTAAAGCTTCACATTTCTTTATTCTTCACTTTGTTCTCCCACCACAATCTCCAAGTACAGGTGTAACCAATAGCTTGGAACTTAAGAAGTTTCTAACTCCTGATTTCCAAGCAAGGAGAATGTTTCTACAGACTCAGGCAATCGAAGCATTTCACTTAGAATTACTTCTATACATGGCAGCAAGATTATGCCAGTAACATACTTTTCAGGCTGGCCTAGGAAATAATTGTAACATAGGTTCTATGGAAAAATGTATTTAGAGATCTTAAATATTTTTCATAAATATCTATGGATTAGATTCTAGTGTTCATATACTGTGTTTCAGTAACATATTTTATAATGTAATTATTAGTTCATAATTAATGATTTCATGATTCTTATTGTTTTAAATCATTATTTGTCCTGATAAGCTCTGTATATCAAATTTCATTTAAACGTTAATGTCTATATATATATTAGGGGTAAATGTTGCTCTTTGATTTATTCTCCTGTGCCCCTACTTCAATGCCTTTTTCCTCTGGACACCTGAATAAAGACCCAAATTTTATCCATTTAACTCATTTTTATCTGCCTTCACACTGAACCCTTTTTCTGTAAATATGTATGTTGTGGGATCTTCAATTTGGCATTGCAATATCATAGTCAATACTTTATTTTATCTTAAAACTTTCAGATTTAAATAGATAATTTATTCTTTAATGCTTTGTACATGATAGTTACGTGGTGGAAGTGTGTTGAAGTATTTGATTGTATGCATGTTGCGCTAGTGATTGACAAGTCAACTCAACTTTGTATAATTGTTTTTGTGTCATTAAAATTATTAATGGAGAAATAGTTTTAATTTTCTGATTGACAATGGAATGAATTTTAAAAGTCCGGTATTTAATTTTCACTATTATTTCGGTGAATATGAGAAAGTGTCTGTTAGTGAGGATAACACATGGTGTGGAAAAATTTCATTTAGCATGTAAATCTTCTTAATTTTCTGATAAGGATATTCTAAGAAAGCAAAAACCAAAAATGAGATAGTTGTAGAAGAATAATCATATATATGATTATATATACACACACATGCACAACTTCTATGAAATGTGCCTCACACACACACACACACAACTTCTATGAAATGTGCCTCAAACACACACACATACACACACACACGCAACTTCTATGAAATGTGCCTCATTAGCATAATCTTAATCAAAATCAGAGTTATAAATCGAAGGAAGATTAAGAGCATTTTTGGCTTATCTGTAATACAAAGGTTATATTAACAGTATGTTATTCCAATTTAATGCACATGTCCAAATGATAACACAAGTAGACTAATTTTGATGGTGTGCGCAATGGTTAGAAACGCACTCTGAGTCAACTGTCTTTGCTGAGTTTGACTCGTCACTGCACTGCTAGCTCTGTGACCTTAGACAAGTTACTAAAACCCCTTGTGCCTCAATTTGTCTGTCTGTACAGTGGTGATATTATTATCTGCCTTACTGGATTGTGAGGATTAAATTATTTACCCTATGCACAAGATTAAAAGAGTGCCCATTTTATTTCTTTACTAAATATTTTATGACTGATAGTTATAATCCTTACTGCTACTTATTTTCTAATAAGACTGTTTAGAATTTAAGCTTGAACTCTAAAAACTAGTATAAAAGAAAGATATCCTTTGTTTTAACAGAATAACTGTTGGCATTATTTCATAAGATTGATAATTATGAATGTTAGTCAGTGTTAATTTTTTTACTATTATTTATAAAAAGTTCATATAATTTAACAGAGTCGGTGCATAGAGTACGGTTTACTTCTTTTTACATTATCCAAGTTAATAAGGAAACTAACTACATGACATTTAATAAGTTTGTTGAGTATTTTATATAAATGATTAAAATGTATCAAGGTAAGGATTAATTTAGAGGTAATTGTACTCTACAGTCATAACACAGACAGTAGTTAATATCAGTTATTTTGAGAGCTTCTTTTGGTGTAGAACATATTTGTGTGTTATTTCTTTGCTAATTGGAATGTAACAATAATTTTTTTATCCTAAATTCTGATCTGCTTTGCTGCTGCTGAAAATTTTTAAAATGATGAGTTGAAAAGATTATCAAATATCACATTATTCAATAGCGAGTCATTAAATGCAAAATATTTTATAAGAAAACAATCACAACTCTATGACTTTCTGAAGAATCATTTATAAAAAGTTGAATATATTCTGTATTCTTTGTTAAGAACTAGATCTGATTGTTTATGTCACTTGGTGGCACTGATTTATTCTTTAATCCCTAGTAGTCACTTTATGACCTCAGAAGAGCCAATAACCAAAGTATAATAATTAGTCATTTAAAATAAAGACAGTAATATAGGATTAGTTAGTATTGCTACTAAGACACAAGCACTGTAAGTTTTAAGTGTTAAAAGGTTCTGCAAGCCAGGGAAATTTCTTCAGTATGTGCTTCATGGGGTCTATGCTTTTTAGGGTGCTACATAAATAAAGTGATAAATGACTTTAACTTAACTTTCACAACAATCCAATTACTACCTCAAACATCTTCTATCTCTATAAATCATGTTGGATTGTAATTCACTTCATATCATTTGTTTATTAGCATTCTTTTAAAGAGATATGTTACGAAAGACACAGTTAATTTGATTTATAGTCATGATAGAAATATGATCATAAAATTTCTCCAGTAGGCATGACTTAGAAGTCATGGAACTTTCTTGTTTCTTCTACTACCTGTTTCTTTTTTTTTTTCTTCAGAAAATTATTCTTTTTCCCCATGTCCTTCTGTATCCTTCTGTACTACAAAGGAAATTACTATCCAGTCCTTACTTGATTTATGTGTCCAAACTCTGACAACTTCCTAGTGTCTCTACTGCTAAAACTCTAGTCCAGGTAACCTCGTGTCTTTCTTAAACCTCTGCCCTAGGCTTTCGGCTAAGGCTTCCTGCCTCTACTTTTACCTTTTTTTTTACAGTCAAATCCATAAGCAGAAATAAGGCATAGCTGAAAGATAAATCAGATCACATCCTCTACTGTTTAAAACTTTCCCACAGCTTTCCATTAAAACTGAAACAAAAGTCAAATGCAAGGCTATGCCTGTCTTCTAGACCTCACCACTGTTATTTGACCCTTTCCTTCCCCCAGCAACAATGCTCAGGTCCACTATCCTTAGCTTCCAAGTACATTCATGTTCTTTCTGTCCCTTTAACATAATTCATGACCCTTGCACTTCTTTTAATTCTTTTTTGGAATTTTTTCCTTAAGTCTCTGACTGCCTCCATCCCATAATTGATTCTCTTCTTAGACAGTCTCTCCTAAACACCAAATAAAATAGACTTCTCCTCCTCCCAAGTCATTCCTTATTTCTTTATCCAGTTTGATTTCTTTCTAGCATTTGCCACTATCTGATATTACATTAATTACATATTTATGTCTGTGTCCTTGTCTACAATCTTTGTGCTTTGCTGTATCTTTAGCATCTTCACACATGTCTGGCACATAGTTGGCATATAACAACACTTGTTTAATAAAAGAATGAGTATTTTCAATAATGGACTATTTTCAACTCTGATTCCAGTATCTCCCACTATTCCTACCTACGCCTTTTTCCATAGTTATATTGTGGCTGACTTCTACAGATAAATTAAAATAGCTTCAGTTGTCTTTGATGACAATTTGCTCTTTCCAGGGCCCCCTAGGAAACAAAAAGGAAATTAGGCTATTTCCCATAGTGTTAAGGGTTTTTTTCTTGCGGTAAAATGTCTGATTCTTACCTAGTCTTAACCTTCAAATGCATCTTTCATTAAGGATAAAATCTAGAAAGGGTATTAAAGTTAAACCATCTCTCTAAGTTTATGCAGGTGATGACAGAAATACAATATGCTTTGTTTTTCTTTCAGATCTCCAGCTAAAGACATGGATTCGGAAGAGAAGGAAATTGTGGTTTGGGTTTGCCAAGAGGAGAAGATTGTCTGCGGGCTAACTAAACGTACCACCTCTGCTGATGTCATCCAGGCTTTGCTTGAGGAGCATGGGACTATGTTTGGAGAGAAACGATTTCTTCTGGGGAAGCCCAGTGATTACTGCATCATAGAAAAGTGGAGAGGCTCAGAACGGGTTCTTCCTCCTCTAACGAGAATCCTGAAGCTTTGGAAAGCATGGGGCGATGAGCAGCCCAATATGCAATTTGTTTTGGTGAAAGCAGACGCTTTTCTGCCAGTTCCCTTGTGGCGGACAGCTGAAGCTAAATTAGTGCAAAACACAGAAAAGGCGTGGGAGCTCAGCCCAGCAAATTACATGAAGACATTACCACCTGATAAACAAAAAAGAATAGTCCGAAAGACTTTCCGGAAACTGGCTAAAATTAAGCAGGACACAGTTTCCCATGATAGAGACAGTATGGAGACTTTAGTTCATCTGATTATTTCCCAGGACCATACCATTCATCAGCAAGTCAAGAGAATGAAAGAGCTGGATCTGGAAATTGAAAAGTGTGAAGCTAAGTTCCACCTTGATCGGGTAGAAAATGATGGAGAAAATTATGTCCAGGATGCGTATTTAATGCCCCGTTTCGGTGACGCTGAGCAAAAGCTAGACTTGCAGTATGATGAAAACCAGATTCCGGAGGACCTGAGTGAAAGCGATGGAATTGTACATCTGGAGGAACGACTAACGTATTACCGAAGGCTCATTGATAAACTCTCCGCTGAAATAGAAAAAGAAGTGCGAAGTGTTTGCACTGAGATGGATGAAGATGCGGGAGGGGCAGCTGCGAGTGAACTTGCAAGCTCTAATTTAGAAAGTGTCAAGTGTGATTTAGAGAAAAGCATGAAAGCTGGTTTGAAAATCCACTCTCATTTGAGCGGCGTCCAGAAAGAGATTAAGTACAATGACTCACTGCTTCAGATGAAAGCAAAGGAGTATGAACTCCTGGCCGACGAGTTTAGTTCGCTTCATATTAGCAGCGAAGATGGATGCCAGCTGAAGGAAAACAGAGCCACTGAGTCCGAGGTCCCCAGCGGCAGAGGGGAGGTTCCTCCCTTTACTCAAAGAGTATTGAACACGTACATTAATGACACTGACTCGGACACTGGCATCAGCTCGAATCACAGTCAGGACTCGGAAACAACTGTAGGAGACATGGTGCTGTTATCAACGTAATTTGAATGGCTTCTCTCTGACCTTCTTGAATGTTGTTCATTTGTTTAATGTAATAGGAATCCTTATTTTAAATGTCATATTCTGAAAAAAATGTAAATCACATGAAAGTATTCAGTAGTTAATAAAAGCTAGAGAAGTTTGAAAGTTTTAAGATTCCCAATGTGACCTAATTATTACTAGTGCAAATGAACTGTTTATTAGTAATTCAGCATAAATAGCTTCCAGGTGTATAACAGAGAAATAATTTGATGCAAATTATAATCTCTTACGGCTTCTATTAGAAATTATTTATACAAACTCAAGACTAATTCTTAATTTAGACCGTCCGTATAATTGAAAGTATATTTTTTCAACACTGTATCATTGGAATTTGTAGTATATTTTTTCAACACTATCACTGGAATTTTTAAATTTGTAAAGTACAGAAAAGCTACTATATTATAACCTATTAATTCAAAGTTTGGTTCTTCTCATTGATTTTTAGAGTGTAGGTCATGTCTGGCACTTCCGGAACCCCCTCTACCTGTTTGGACCTCAATGACAGGAGGTAGATAGGCTGCTGTTGACATGCACAAATATGAGCATTGGTTCAGATTGGGGAATGAACAGGGGAGGAGGGGCCAGGTGCTGCACACAATAGCAATTTTTCAAGGAAGCCCAAAGTATTAAGAAAGATGCATGGGCTTTCTCTATCTGACAGTGCAAAGCTTCTGATCAAACCGATGGTCTGTGCAGGTCATTCTGGGGCAAGGCATGGTTGGGTTACAGAGACAGTCACAGGGTCATAGTCCTGTTTGTTTATGCCCTATCTACAAAAGTTGCAGGCATCCAACTTGGGGTCCTTTGTGTGGGTGAACTAGAGAACTATATGCCCTAAGTGTTAGCATTTCTCTCTGAACCTACAGAGAGGAAGTCACATGAACAAAAACCTTTTATTCTACACTAGAATTCTGATTGTCTTTGTAGTACTTCATCAGAGCTGCAAAAAAGACTAACCCTACCCACCTTCCCAAAAGCATAGTAATAAATATCCAACAAATTGAATGGATTATTTAGATCCTGCCTTGACCGACAACCACTATGGGGCCAAGATTATGTTTGGTTCTGTTGGACTTTCAGTGAGGAAGTTCCTTTCTCCTCTCTCTCTCCTTCCCATCCTTTTATCCCTTCGTTGCAGCTTGCCAGCAAACATGTGACTTAATCATATTAAAAACAGTTAGTGTTTTTAAATGATCGTTTTATTGTACTCTTGTATGAGCCACTGCAGTTTATTTTTTTTTTAGCTGACACCTTTCCTGTATGTCAGTGCACATGTAAGTAGAAACATTATTTTACTTAGTTTTAGTTCTTGGATATTGGTTAAGATCCCCAGTTTTTCTGATTTGTTCCCTTTTATTCTTTCTGTGCTGACTGACGTGCATGTTTTAACTAAGTTTCTTAATCTGTTTTTTCATGTCTACATCCCCAAGACTTTTCACCTATCTTAGGAAGATATTTACACTTTTCTTGGTATTTCATTTTGGGGGCGTATCTGTGCTATCATTTCTTGCAACGAGATACTGCTGAAAGCTATATTTGAAGTTGGCTGGTAAGAAAAGTAGGAATTTCCATTCCAGGGAAAATACAGTTTTAAAGAATAAGTAATAATGCTTAAGAAACAATGAAAAAGGCAATTGAATAGTCGTCTGAGAAAGGGAAATTTATCTGCCTAATATCCCATTAAATCATTCAGCAGAATGGTACACCATTGATTGACACCTTCATTGTTCACTACTGGGGATTAAATTCAGATTATCCTTAATGTAAGCCAATTGAAATGTTATTGTCCTAAAGTGAAAGTAATTTGCTTGGATTACTTTTTAGTGTAAAAATAATGAAACATTACTTATCTGTTATATAATTTGATTAATTATTGGAATTAAAAAGTTTCTGATAAGAAATAGAACTGGACAGAAAATTTCACTTTTAAAACTTTGAATCAATTCCTCCTTTTATACAGTTAAACACACTGATGCAGTCTAAGGACCAATTCATCTGTATTTTTACTGTAAATAATGTTAAAAATCTTACCAGAAAGCAGGACCATTGATGTTTAAAGTCACCTTAGAATCTTTAGAATTTCTAATTGTTCTTTAGTTATACAAATATATTTTTGCTTTGGATTCATTACAACAATTAAATCATTGGCTCCTATGGTGAATCTCTACTGTAGTTTACTAATACAAATAGAAATACTAAAATATGCCCTCCTTATTAGATACTGACCTATTCTTTACTAAGCTGGGAATTTGAATTATAAATATAAAGTTTAATAGGAACTTTAATGTTTTAATTATTTTTAGGAGCTTTAAAATGAAATGTTTATAAATTCTTGAGAAACCTGACTAGTGAACTCTGCGACTGCTGTATGCAGCTAGCAGTAGGAACAAACCCAAGCTGCCTATTTCTTCCTATAACAAGACTTATTTTCACACATTATGTCTTTTACATCTTCCCACTTAGAATGTCTTTTTTTTTCCCTCCATCTGCCATATACTGAAATCCTGCCCATTTCCAGCTTTTTTAATGTGTTATCTCCTCCATTAAACATTTATTGTTCCCTTCAACCAGTTACATCTTATCTCTGAACCCACAAATATTTTAGGTGTACTTTTCATAGACCAACATTCATATTCTGGCTTAGCTTATATTTATTTATGTACTTATCTAACTTCCCCCCACCCATGTATTTTTGATTATCTGTGCCTATCTCGTTAACTTTACCCCTTTAATCCACCTTTTCGCCTCTCAATTTTTGAGTTGAATTGCTAAGTTTTAAAAGGTTGTTACCTTTTTAAAAACTTATTTCTATACATGGTAAGTGATGTTTACCCATTTTACACATAAATATGCATTTTAGGCAAAAAAAATCGACAGTAATCCTACTTACAAAGTTTTCAGAGGAGGTTGTAAATTGGTACTCTATTATGAAGAATTGATATTGTGATATCAACTTTTTATTTTATTTTTAGTTCACAGAGTTACTGATCTAAAGTATTGCAAATATTGCTTTTAAAAGCTCCTAAATGCTTAAATTATGGTACTTTTCTCTGCATTGTATGTATGTAAGAAAAAAATTATGCTTCATATTGTTGGAGTTTTAAGTGGTAGACACAAAAACTTTGAAATATCAAATAAAATATCTTTCTTTTCTTTTTTAACTGAAAAGAAATTAATGGTCCCTCAGTGTATAGAAGCCTTTTTAATCCATTAAAATTTTATTTTTATATTTATTTAACATGTATTATACATGACACAATATATTTCTGTAGCTGCATTTTATAATCCTTTGAAGTAGAGTTATTGTTTTATTTAAAATGTATTTTTCCAGTGAGAAAAGAAATATCTTTTTATCCAGATACAGATTTTTTTTTAAATATTAGGCTATTTCTTTTCATACAACCTGATTGGTTTAAGAAACCTGATGTGACAGATATAAAGGATATATCATTTCTTCAAGTGTAACTGATCTAGAATAATAAAAGGAATAGTTGCACCCTTTCACATGGTACTGTTTGTCTTTCTCAGTGCATTACTTAGTGATAGTAAAAATAGATTTCATATCAGAGTTATGTAATTGCTGAGCTAACTCACACAACTCAAGATCAGGTATTATTTCATGACAAATTATACAGCAAATTAGATCTAACAAAACTTTTTTATTAGGCTTCATGCATATTTGTTTCAACTTGTCCTGAATGAATGTCCTCACTTTCATACTGGATGGCCAATTTTATGGCCTGGTACTTTGCTTTCCATCTTAATTTAAAAACATTCAAGCATGAAACTTCCCTCCTATAATTGAGTTTGTCACTACCCTTATTTCTCAGAACAGACCTTTAATTTTCACTGTCTTTGATAATTAAATCATTGGAAAAATAAGGAAACTCATTTCCTTGTTCTATAAATGATCATGGAATGACTCTATTAAAAGATGTGTATAATGTCCAATAACAATGCATAGGAATATTTAACCCCTTTTTCTTAGCCATATATACATATATACGTGTCTGTGAATAAATTATCTCTAGAATGACTCATAAATAACACTTAATGCTGGATATTTCTGAGGAAAATATCTGGGTAGTTAGGCCAACAGGTAAAAAAGAGACTTACTTTTCATGGTGTAGGTTTTTTGAGAAATTTGAGTGGTGGTGGTCATAACAACTTGAAAATCATGTGTCAGCTTTACCTGAACATTTTAACTTTAATAAACATTGCTAATTATTCTCTATGAGATTGAACCATTATGCCCTGAGTTAGAAATGTACTTCTCCTTCTCCTAGGGTGCTCTGTTGTTTGTCTTTTAATAGATCTAACAAAACTTTTTTATTAGGCTTCATGCATATTTGTTTCAACTTGTCCTGAATGAATGTCCTCACTTTCATACTGGATGGCCAATTTTATGGCCTGGTACTTTGCTTTCCATCTTAATTTAAAAACATTCAAGCATGAATCTTCCCTCCTATAATTGAGTTTGTCACTACCCTTATTTCTCAGAACAGACCTTTAATTTTCACTGTCTTTGATAATTAAATCATTGGAAAAATAAGGAAACTCATTTCCTTGTTCTATAAATGATCATGGAATGACTCTATTAAAAGATGTGTATAATGTCCAATAACAATGCATAGGAATATTTAACCCCTTTTTCTTAGCCATATATACATATATACGTGTCTGTGAATAAATTATCTCTAGAATGACTCATAAATAACACTTAATGCTGGATATTTCTGAGGAAAATATCTGGGTAGTTAGGCCAACAGGTAAAAAAGAGACTTACTTTTCATGGTGTAGGTTTTTTGAGAAATTTGAGTGGTGGTGGTCATAACAACTTGAAAATCATGTGTCAGCTTTACCTGAACATTTTAACTTTAATAAACATTGCTAATTATTCTCTATGAGATTGACCCATTATGCCCTGAGTTAGAAATGTACTTCTCCTTCTCCTAGGGTGCTCTGTTGTTTGTCTTTTAATTTTAATGCAATTTTTTTTGAAATTTTGGAATTTCAACTTTGGGTTTTTCTCATCAATGACTCCTGAGGTTTTTTTCTTTGTCATATTAAAAAGGCCTTCTTATGAGATGATAACTAATTTTAAAAATAAATGCCATGCATTTGCTTTATGTTTTACTTTTAAACATTTGAACTCTCTGACTGAACAATAGAAATTATTTGTTAACGATGTTCAAAACTAGAAAGACTATTTTTTTTTATAGTTACCAATTTTCCCACATCACTTACCAAAAGCTTTGCCCACTCTTTTTAAACTCCCAACTTTTTTTTGTGAAGCAAACTCTGATGTGTATTTAAAACATAATTCTGGACTTCATACGCCCTTACATTGACTTGGCAGTTTTATTTTATTTCTGAGCTACTTTGATAAAAAATATTAAGATCAAAGATATCTGAACATGAAGTCTAACAGTTCCACTCATTTGGGTAGGACAGAGTCTATGATGTTTAACTAGTAATATTTGTAATGACCGCCACCATAAGAGACATAAAAACAGAATATCTGTTAATATTGGGTCATTGGTCAGGTTCAAACATCATATGGCTACAAAATCAATGTCCACATAAGAAAAATGTTTAACTTACAGTATTTCTCAACAATAGCTCTACTGGCATTCTGGCGGTAGAGTTTTTGCTGTGCCAGACTCCCTTGTTAATCGCCAAATATTTAGCACCCCTGTATCCCTCCTCCTAAATGTCAGTAAGACCCCAACTCATTCAGTGGGACAAATAAAAATGCCCTGACCCCTCCCCCTACTTCATATTTCTAAGCATCCCCCAGAGGCCAGTATTGTCCTTGGTTGCAAACAATGTAATGACATTGCAGTTCAACTATTACTAAAAGAAAATAGCACTTATCTCTTTGAAAAATAAAATTAAAAGAAGATCTAATGACCTGGGCCCATGTTATACTGACCACAAATGCACTATTCCATTAAAAACAAAGGAGGTAAACATAAGGGTGGAGTACAAGTTAGGATTGTTTATAATGATTGGCACCATCTCCATTTGCCAAGAATCCAGTCAGCCCACATTGATTTCAAGGATTATACAAGTTTATTATTATGCTTCTAAAGGTTCTTGGGGCTTCAGAAAACACCAATCAAATGATCAGTTGTTGAAATAGCTGCCTCATCACAAGTGTTCTGTAATTTCTATGAGGATGAAATCAAAGTTAAAAAAAAGTCATACTTGGTAAGGGAAAGCATATTCCCCTTCAGTACTGTTTAATTCTTATCTATAGGGACAGCTAACAATAGGTTAAACCAATAATTCTTCTTCAGAGATCAGAAATTGTTGCTTACAAAAGTTAATACTGATTTCCACACAGTGGCCGGAGAGACAGATAAAAACAGAGAGAGTAAAGAACTAGTTGTCACCAGCTGTCAACATAGGAAGATGTTACAGAATCATTGACTATATTCTCCAGGCTGTACTACCGTCCCTGTAACAGGTAGTAACTGGACTGGAGGGGGGGATGATTTAATAATATGGGTAACTGTTGAACTACTGTGTTACACATTTGAAACCAATATAAGACTGTATATCAACAATGTCAATTTAAAAAAAAGAACAATAAAAACTATCTGTCACACTAACTGTATCCAGACTCTGATTCCTATTATCAGAGTTCTAGGTATTTGCTTCTTATGCTTCTTGACATTATTAGACTTTGTGCTGGTCCCATGTTCTGACCCTGCCTTTCAGACTACTGCATAATTCCTCATTTTGAATAAAATAAATGAAGTGGCCTTACAGGAGAGGTACCTAGAATTACCTATGGCAATTGCTATAACATATTGGAAAGTAATTTGGAAGTATTGGAGTCTATCAACAACCCCCAACTATTCACACCTTTCAGTCAGTACTTTATCATTCATAGTAAATGGTAATAAAATGTTCCAAAATTTGTGAAAAGACATGCATTTAGGCACTCATCTTAATTTTATATAATAGCAAAATAAAAATTCCAATATAGAGCAATTGTTAGCTAAATTCTGAGCTATTATTTGCGTGAAAAATTTGTAAGTATTGATATTTATAAGAACGTAGCATAGTGAAAGCTATGTTTCAAAGAAAGGAATTTAAAAATGTATACAGACCGACTACATTTAAAAAAAATGCATGCATACCAAAATGCAAATACATATGAAAATGGAAATACATAATTTTTGCTAAGAGTTTTGTGTATGAAAGTTGATAATCTGGGACATAATATATTTCTTTACACCATAAATATATTTTAAAATATCGTATCTTTATAATTTAAACACATTCAAAATGTACATGATATCCCTTTGACAGTCATATCTTTGCTGAGACTCTTTAGAGACTTCCATGAACATCCCACAGCTAGGAAGTGATGAGTAACGACATGATCAACTACCTGGAAATTGCAACGCTGAAGGCTGTAAGCAAACCATCCGAATCCCAGGTTGTCAGATAGACAACTGCAAAATAATTTTTTTATAAAAAGAAAAAGTTAAAACATTAAATTAGATAACCCTTATAGTCTTTTCAGCTAGGTTAATTCATGCAGGGTAATGCATTCAATAGATTTAGTACCTGCACAATAAATACTAGATATTTACTTATTGTTCTTGACTTTATTCTCTTTCTTTTATCTCTGGCAGAGCCTGCACAAGGTTAAATGAAAGCAGCCCGCTAACTAACAAAAGAGGGAGTTAAAACTCAAAACTGCTTCTCCCAACATTTTCACTCTCACCTCATTTATTTCCAAATTAGTTAGGGTGGGACTGTGGGCCTTGATAGATGAAATAGCCATGGCTATGTTAGCTAAACAATATATGGCCAGGAAAAAAGAGCATCATTATGTTTCCAGAACAGAAAACTATCTGGAAATTGAGGTGAAGAGGAAAATAACCTGCATTGTTTATTTTTATATTGCTCTAGTGTCTAACCGAGATAAGAACCTAGTATTTGCCAAATAGTATTTAAAGTTAGATGTGTAACTACAGGGCTAACACAATTCCTAGAAGGCAATTACTTACTATTGTTAAGTAATTAAAGAAAAGTAAAACTTTTATTCTGGAGCAAAATATGCTTACATATTCTACTGAAAATGCACACACTACTTTTCCTTACCTAAATTAATTCTTATAAGTATCATGGAAAGTATATGTTATGACTGTCTATCACTCAGCACAGATACACTGGCACTCATACAGGTTCACATTCAGGATAAAGATTTTCCATTCCAAATCCTAATTAATTTTTTTTCCACTTTAAGAAGCATCTGTCATAACCCAGACAAGAGAGTAGAGAAAGTTTTATACCTTCTAGAAATGAAACTAAGATTTTAGAATGCTTCTCAGCATTATCTTTTATGTATGTGAAATTTTTGTGAATCACTCGCCTCTAGTAAGTGCAGGTGTTTGACATAGTGATTGTTAGTGATTTTCTGCTTTTCAAGTACAGATCACTGACCCAAAACCTAATTTACCTAAATTACCTTAAGCTGA